AGTTGGTAAAAATGAATTATTGGTGGACTTTACTGATTAAACGTGTTATTAAGGTCATTTATGTGCTAGATATGCATAATAAATTGAATACTGCTGGATATTTTGTGCCACTTATTTTATGCAACGTAGATCTATTTTTTTTTAACATTTTAGGCATCATATCCAAAAATTGTGTAACATGTTTAGGAAGTAAAAATCTTTTTCATAATTTTATCGATCATAATTTTTTTTAAATTTGTGCAAATCTGCAAGCACTGAACACTTACTTATATATCATCCTTATTATAATTTGAAATACTTGAGCAATCGCCTTTTAAGACCGTTGCAATTTTTACAACAAAAGCCGTTTCAGAAGGTGTGAAAAGCAAGAGAGTCTAATGAAAGATAGGAACCTACTGTTAATTATTCTATTCAGCAATGTTACTCTTTTGAAGAAATGCACCTTTAAATGGTTTCTATGGCCTAGAAAATTTATTTATTCAAGAAATTATAGTTTCTGTAAATTGGCTGCGTTCTCTTCTGGATACCCAACTAAAAGCGTGTTTAACTGTTTTTATCAGAGATTCTGCTCCATTTCATAATTTACACATTTTGTTAACTTAAATTAATTCATGAAGATTGAACATTTTTTATTCAAGTCAGCTTAAATGTAAATTAATAAATCAATAGGAAAACAATTCTAAAAATATACTGCTCCATTTATAACATTATTTTGACTGGAAATATTTGTTAAATTTAACACTGTATTTAATCCTAAGGCATCACGACACTCTATGAAAGTATGATGTCTATGTGTTTACATGTTCTTCTCATGTTTCCTTAAATTTGTCCATATATGTAACATTATTCTTAAAAGTGAGGTGTACACAATCTGCGTCAAGGAAAAGACACTAGTTGAATCAATCTCGATTTATTCATTCGTAGAGGATAATGCAGGTTATTTTTCAATAGGTAAAAAATCATATTTTAACGAATATATATGACCAGAATTGAAGAGGTAACGCGGAAAGCTTACAGTCAGCTTGCATGCTGGAAATAAAAAAGGGCAGTAAACAATGCATATATATATATATATATATATATATAAATCAAATGTATCAAATTCGAAAGGATATGAAAACGCCAGTCTGTACCGTGACCCTCCGCAAACACTGCCACGTCAACATCCGTCCTTCTGGTACGTAAAATATTTATTCTTACTTTTCTCTAATGTTATCACATCGTACTTTTGTCTTAATTATTCAAAACTCCTCTCTCTGTTTTTGGGTTTGGTTTGGCATTAGGGATGAAAATCAGTGTTTTAGGCCTTACGGCGTAATATAAAAGAAACAATCAGTAGTAACTACTACATAAAAACAAAAACAATCATAAACAACAAAACGTAGAAAAGCAATGCAATAAACTGATCGAAATAAAATACTGATAGCTAAAATAGGGATAAAAATTACATAAGAATAAAAACAAAATGGAAAATAATAAAAATAAGATAAAACACAAACGCAACGAATGCGCAATAAATGCTGCAATTCTAGGAGTGTTGTGGAAATATATCAAAAATCAAATTTCAATGGAGTGACAAAAGTAAAAAAGTCTCAGTGAAAAAGAAAGGATGCGTCTTCAGGTAAGGTGAAATCCGTACTAACTATCCATACTAACCATAAAATAATTAGAAAAATCCCAACATTTTTAAAATTGTTTAATAATTTTTCTAATTATTTTATGGTTAGTATGGATAGCTAGTATGGATTTCACCTTCCCTGAAGACGCATCCGTTCTTTTTTACTGAAATACTTTACATAGTTTTGTCTCTCCATTGAAATTTGATTTTTGATATATATATAATATAACACATGTTTTGATTAATTGAAATATTTAACTATAAATATATATATAGATAATGCAGATTCTCTTCATATAACGATGATATATTGTTAGGGTTAGCGTATGGATATTTTCATTCTAACTTCTTTCATTTTAGGGTAGATTATCCTTTCTGTTTTTTCAACAATTAATAACAGGGGTGTTTTATACAGCAAAATCGATTTAACCTGGTTAATTCGCTCATCCAAAACTGAGCAACTAATTTTATTTTCGAAAATTCCAAATTTTGAATTTGAATTTTTCAATAGTTGTAAGAGTAACATAGTTCATAGATATGTTCGTAGTTGACCGTGTGGTCTTAGCACTTTTATTTATAGGTTCATAATTCAAATTTTGTTTAAGTAATAAATTTTTAGTTTTTGCATTGCACTTTTGATATGTTTTGTTTATTTTGTTTTGAATGTTCAAATTACATGTTATATAATGGCTAATATTACTATATATATATATATATATATACACAAGTAAATTAAACCCTTACTTTATCTTCATTTAGATTTACCCAATTAGTTGCATGGGGGCATAAATTAAATATGAAGTACACTATTAAATTTTTATATATATAAAAATTTAATACTCGGTTTGATGCATTTATAAATGTTCTAACTCTCGAACTTAAATTTTGTCAAGGCGGGAAAACATACATGACTACATGAATTAAGAATCAAGGAAATAAATTCTTGAAAGTTTCAAGCTCTATCTTATTTCTTTTAGTAAATGCAGCGGTTTTAAAATATTCACTAAATGCATTTCTCTGAAGAAACAATGAATGCCCTTTAGCTTAAAAACCATCCGAAGAACGTTCCATCTCCTTTTTTCAAATCTTTCAACCTTTTTCTCTTCCGAAGAATAATAGTGGCGAAAATTTTTCAGGCAAAGTCTATGAGAAATATCAATCTTAAATCATTATCGTGGGCCAGAGAAAGTCCACATTTTTCATTCATTGAAAGAAATTTCAAGAAGAACCGATGATCGGCTGTGCAGCATTTGTTCCTCAGGCAAACGTAATCCGTTTCGTTCCAATTCAGAAATCGCGTCTTTTCAGTAACACAAGAGTGAAGAATTCTAAATTACCTTTTGGACTATCTTCGAAGAAAGGGTCTTGAACGAAAAGGAATCTAAAAGCCAAGCTTCAGATTAAATTTGAAAGAGCACGTCTGCCGTCACTGATTCAACATGAACAAGAAGCATTCCAATTTTATCGTGGGAGATTTCAACCACTTCATGAGAGCATTGAATTTCCTCGAATCTTGTTAGTGGCACGCGGTCTTTGTTCTGCAGAATAATTAGGAAGCCTCGATCGTCGCCTTAATTTAAATGGAATAAAGCGGGACTTTAGCATTTCAAAGTCCTGTTCCCTTTCAGTATTTGTTACGTCCAACGAAGATTTAAGCTCACCTGCATTTCAATTGCTGCTGCATTTTAATTAACTGAGAAGAAAAGCTTTTGCTTGTAAACATCATAGGAGAGAAAATAATTGAGAAACTTTCAATGCTTTTCATTGCTGCAAATTATCTCGGAATTAATCTTTATTTAAAGAAGAATTGATTCTAATTGATTTTTTTAATTGGTCCCTTCTTTCTTTGTCGTTTTCGATATAAACAATTATTTTTACAGACAAGTTAATTTCATTCTCATTTAGTTTCATTGCTGTGAGTCCATTCTCTTCTATTACCTGGATGAGAAGTTTCGAATGATCAAAAATGTGTTTTTATATCGCCACTTACTATGACATATCTTTTCCTTTCTAAAGCCCTAACAAGGTTTATTCAATTCTTTCACGCCCAGCACTTGGCGAGGAGACATGTCTTTGTTAGGATTTGAATTTGAAATAACAGAAAAGCTTTAATCGTATCAGAGTGGTTTTTGTGCAGAAATGATTTTATAGAGTAATTCATTTAACATGTAAATTAGTCTTATTATGAAATTTTTAAATAATCTCTCTTCACTTAACAATAACGTATCATTGAGACACTATTGTTTGAGAACTTAAAAGGAGAATTAGAGAAGTTGAAAATTTCTTTTCAAAATAGGATTACAGATCATTTATAATTAAATTGATTACAAATTCGAAGGGATTATTCTAAATTTAAACAATAATAGATTTATTAACTTTTAATACTTCAAACAGAAGCATGTGAGAAGAGGCCATGGGCGTGTTTGCTGATTTTAAAATTTTAGTTAAAGAATCCGGCAATATTCTCGTAATTTTAAACATTGTGCATATTTTGGGAAAAACACATTATCTTAGGTAAAAGATTTCGAACCGTAGACTTTTATTTCAAAAATTATTTACGAATACACTATCATGGCTTTTATTAAGAAATATACATACTATTTGCATCCATTACTTCAGCATTTCAACAAATGTCTGAGATAAAAAAAGATTTAAAAGGCATTAGCTTTAAACTGAAAGTTCAAATTTTATGATTAGCTCAATTAGAAAATTCTTCTGATTTTCTTGCTGAACTTAGAAGGAATTGTTTAAGAAAATTTCTATATTAAATTGTGTTCATTTCCGAATATGTCCAATTAAATAAACTTCATAAAGCTGTGATCTGTCACCATTGAAGCGTAGGCGACTCAAAGATAAAAGAGTGCAACATTTAAAAGTCTATATAATCTGTAATTTTAAATTGTTCCGAATATTACATTGACAAGTAATATAAAAAAAATTTTCAAGCCAATTCCTACTTAGGTCAACAAAGAAAAATTTTATTTTAGAAATTTTTTCTCCCATATAAAACTAAAATTAATTAATTAAATTTAATTAATGAATTAATCCATATAAAACTAAAATTAATTAATTAAATTTAATTAATGAATTAATATTTGAAAAAACTGTATTAACATCAAGTGTCATCCACTATAAGTTTAAAAAATGTATTTGAACTTGAGTAGATGAATAAAAAGTATTTTATTAACGATTGAAAATTTGAACAATATATATAAATATATAGAGGGAGAGTGTGTACTAATAGTAGGAATTGAAGAAAAAAATAGACCTAAGTTTATCCATTCAAACGGGGAACTAAACATTTTTGGATGCAATTGCCAACAAGAGATATCTTTCAGAATATAAACTAAGTGCAGGAATGATATGTCTTGAGTAAATCTCTTGACCCGGACGTGATTTGAACTCGCAGCCTTCTTCTGATCTGGAGTCAGACGCGCTACCGTTGCGCCACCGAGTCCCGTCCCGCATTTCTTATCCCTACACCATGATCGTAGCCTGTGCGAGGCTCTAATAAATAGAATTAATTAATTCAATTTAATTAATGAATTAATATTTGAAAAAACTGTATTAGCATCAAGTGTCATCCACTACAAGTTTAAAAAATGTATTTGAACTTCAGTGGATGAATAAAAAGTATTTTATTAACGATTGAAAATTTGAACAAGATATATAAATAAATATATATAGGGAGAGTGTGAACCAATAGTAGGAATTGAAAAAAAGATACACAATTTGTTTCCATCTTCGAAGTACGAATTGTTTAGTTGATGTCTACATTTTTAATATCAAAAATGAAAGGGCTAAGTATGACCACAGCTATAAAAGATTAAAAGCAAATAAATTTAGAGATAAAATTCACCTAAATTAATGTAAAACGATTGACAACATCAAACCTATGCAGCCAAAAGATAGAACTTCGCAAATTAGCTTCTAGAACCCTTTGAAGGAAAATTAAGTCTTAATTAAAAGACGAAAGTTTTCTCGAACAAGTTTCACTTGTTGCGCATTCAATTTATTCTGAGTTGTCTCTTCCCTAGCTTCATGCTAATTGCAAAAGGGTTAAGTACATCAACGTTTATTGGCGAGAAATCGTTTCACACAATCCTTTAAAAAAGTTCACTCAGCAAAGAGCTGACTTGCAAATGTTTCAAATTGGGAAATTACTTTTAAGAGATCAGAGGTAATTAGATTCTTTTCACCGAAAGAACAAATACAGCACGAATGCCAATTAGAGTTTTCCATCCTGTTTGAAAACCATTATTACCTTTGTTTGCAAATCAAACGTGTTTGAACACTTGGTTGAGCAAAATTTTCGCAATCGTCTGACTTTTATTTATGTCGTTTACGCTTCTCTATTTTATGCAGATATTGCACAAAGATCGTAGAAACGACATAGAAGACAGGTTCAAAGAGTTAAAACTCAGAAATCCCTCTGAATTTCCTTTTATTTCCATGCAAAATCCCAACCCCTGGAAACAAAAACACTGGGTTCAATCTCATTATTAATGCCTTCATTGAAATTAATATTAATCTCTCAAACATTTTCATACAACTGTTTGGATTCTTTTCGGATCTCGTTAGATATCTTTATAGTTTTAATACTATTTTGTCACCACTCGTTTTAAAAATTATGAAAAAAGAGAAATAAATTTCACCATTGTTCAATTAGTATTCTCTCCTGAATACAAGCCAGGCGATATAGAGGTTGTTTGCCGATATTTGAGGGACTTTCGCATAATATAAATTAGGGTTTTACATAAAATCATATATTTTAAACCTTTGGTTTCATTTCACTTATTCTCAGATATCATTTTACATGTTAATTTCATCGATAACATTGTTTTTTTTTATAATATTAACATACCTAATAAAAGAATAAAATTGTAAATGCGTGGAGCGCTGGCAAAAATATCTTTCTAAATTGGAATTTTATTCACATTTGTAATAAATTTTAATGTGTTATGAAAGTTTATAATTAGTTTTATGTTATTCATTTTGTCTTAATCTCCTTACTGTATTGTTTTCAGTGCCTCACGCTTTTACGTTTTTGTTTTTACCATCCAGACATTTGATAAAAAAAAAGATACTCTTCTTTTCCTCTACACTGTAATAAAATCCTGTTTTAATATAATTTTTTTTAGTTTTTAATATCAAATGCAAAATTCATTATTATATATGTTACGGGATCTCGTAATTAATGTTTTCTCAACTTTAATACCAGTTGGCACCTCTTGTATAAAACAAAAAATTAATTGAAAACTATTCTAATAACTGCTAATTATGTTCTGAAAATGTTAAATTAGTGTATTAGCATCAAGAACAATAAACAATACAAAATTTCATCACTCTAGTATATCACGAAGTGAGTGAAAAATAAATTACAAAATTCAATGAAACACGTCAAGTTAAAAATGGTGAATAAAAACAATAATATTCTGTCTCTAAAGAATGGATTATTCATTATATTAAAATGTTTCGTCTCCGGAAGATTCTTTTCTCTATAATTAGGTATGCTTTACTTTATGCTATAACTCTTATAGCATAATTCCACGACTTAATATCTCTTTATTCACTTTTGAATTATTCACTGAGAAGGATCTATTAAATATATTATGAATTATTCATTTACATCTACCGGTATATTTTTGATTGATTATTTCTGCATTTTATGTATGAATATAAATGGCAGGATATTGTTCTAGATTTATAAAGCGAATTTCCATTTTATTTGAGTGCATAAACGAATGCAATCTTAAGTAAATCTATTAAACATATGCGTGATTTTTAAAAATAAAACAGACTCCTACATTACTGTTTGATATATATTGAAAACATACATTTGCAACTAGCAGAGTTGGAATGATTTGACAATTGAATAATATGAATTTGCGAACAATAAAATTAATAATATTAATGTTTTGTTCGATTTATTTGAAAACTAATAGAGTACTTATTTTAAGCAGAGTAATTTTTTTCAAGGTGCTGTGTTCATTTTATATTTAAAACACGATCCTAGGTTTTTTTAAAAATTTTGTGCAACAATTATATTCCTACAGAAAAATAGCATGTTTCGCAAATTCTTAACCTGATAAATTGAAGCTTTTTATTGAATTAAATTTATCCTTTTTCAATCTCCTTCTTTTCCATAGAAAAATATAAATAAATATGCCGATAATATAATGGCCAAAGGAAAAATTTTCTGATTTTCATTAAAAGACTCAACTTTTAAATGCTTTTCCTGATTGAACTATGCATCACGTATCAAAGAACTTTGCAAATAATGAGCAATTTCGAAAATAAAAAAAATGTCATGAATTTTTTTTAAAGCTGCAAATTAAAATTCTTGACACCCTAGATATAAAGCAAACGATTATTTTACAAAATAAATAAATTTTTCGGTATATAGGACGAATTATAGATACTAACGTCCTCGCCACGTATTTATATAGGTGTCATTTACTAAGGCTTTCATTCAAAATGGATCTAGTAAGAACTTACGCTCAGAAAATAAGCAACATTCGATATTCAACACGTCTTTGTATGGGCACAGCTTTTAGAACCTTTTTCAACAGAAAGCAATGCCCAAAGACACCAGTACTCTTCCTGAATACAAAGAAATTGTTGCTCTTGCAATAAATCTGAAATCTCTAAAGAATAACACAGATTCATTTGAATATCCAAAGATACACTTGTTTACTTATCTGTTCGAATAAGGAGTACCGAAAACATGAACCCGCTGTTATTATTTCTCAAAGGAACAGTCACCACTGAGTAAAGAGATAATGACTTCCTGTTCGCATCAATTCCGCTGTTTCATTTAACAGTCTCTTCCTTTCAATATGCGCATAAATTATCATATATTAATGGTGCCGTAATTAGGCTTCGGGAATAAGATATTTCACAAAGGTAGAGTAGATCATTTTCTTCTGTATTTTAAAACAGCGTTAATCGAAATTCCAAAGATAAAAATTAGCTTCATTTTTTATAAAAACCGAAAGAAAAAAAGTATTAACTACTTGTTAGTTTTATGTTTAAAGACTTACCATTGAAATTCGACGAAAACGCAAATTCACACGCAATCATGGAGTAGTCTTCAATCGATTTTTAAGTTCTGTTACACCTGGGATAAAAAGATTTCTATTCACTAGATTTTATGTCATCGGTTTCAGTCGTTTTTTTTCTGATAGGGGGACGCTTATAAATATATATATATTAAAAAATGACAAGCTCGTCCAAAGTCGAGTTGATCACTTAAATTGTTGAAAACTCCATATTTGGATGGTCTTTTTCAATTATTAATTTAGTCTTAATAGTAACAGCATTAATATGGTATGTCCAAAACTTTCTATAGGTACTTTTGGCATTAATTTATTAATTTTGATTATTGGATTAATTTATATTTTGTTAAGTAATCAGTTAAAATTCTTGAAATGGATGTTTGATGTGTATGTTGTTTTACTTGCGAATAAATGTTATTATATATATATATATATATATCATTGCCTGAGGTCACGTGACACATGCCTAATGTATGTTATAATATTGTTGAAAACTTTCAAATCAAGCCTCTTTATTACTTTAAAGCAGTTTGAATGACAACACGAGAGGTTTGGAAAATTATTTATTTCACTTTAATGTTTTAAACAATAAACGAAATATAAATAATCACACAAATATGAATACTAATGCAAATATAAAATTAGATTATTACAAATTTATACTGAACATTTATACTTCTAAAATTTATAAATTAAAACATGGTATTAAAAATCAGGAATGATGCCAGACACAAAATAGCTTTTCTAACAGGTTTTCCATATCAATATTAGAAGATCCAAAAATTTCATCAACAATGAAATCATACTACATCCATGAAATCTCAAAATAAAACCTCACGGAAAACAACATTTTTTGTAAAAACCCTATTTGAGCTATTTAATTTTCCCTGTTTCTTTGTATCAATTACCAAAACTCGCACACAACGCCTCGATGTTGCTCTTGAAAAAGCAACATATAACATTGCACGTGAAAATACTGGCTGAGACAAATATATTCCTACTTTTCTAAGACTCTGTCCATGAGATTTGTTTATTGTCATTGCAAAACCAAGTCGAATGGGAAACTGCCGCCTTTGAAGCTGAAAAGGTAGATTACTGTCAGAAGGAGAAAGTGTTACTTCTCCTACATTACTGACAATCGGCTATTATTTTGTTCTTCTGTTTCTTCCGCTCTTCTGTCCTGGCCACGTTATGCCATAGTTGACAATCGACTATTTCTTTGTTCTTCTGTTTCTTCCGCTCTTCTCTTCTGGCCATGTTATGCCATTACTGACAATCGGCTATTATTTTGTTCTTCTGTTTCTTCCGCCCTTCTGTCCTGGCCACATTGTGCCATAGTTAACAATCGGCGGTTTCTTTCTTCGTCAGTTTCAGCAACTCTCCTTTCACGTTTTGTAAT